CTGGAGCAACCGGCAATAGGAGGTTCGCATACATCGCCAATTCCACCAAACTGTCCTCTGTTAATTTCTTCACAATCCCAGAAAAAATGAGTAAACCATGACATGCAGACGTTGCGAGAAACATGCCATGTGCTGCCCGGGTTTCACCGCTGCGTTGCGTTGAAGCGTCTCATTTTTCGGAGGCGCACGTTTCGGTTCATCACAAAACAGGTTTTTTTTTTTTTGCTTTTTTTCTTGTGCTCGTAGTAGCGAGGCTGAGGTACTTCAGCTGCCACTAATTAGTATCGTTACGTTGCATTGCCTCGTGGCTATTAAGGGGCGTCGTTTCCGGGACTTTGCGGCGTAATCTTCATCTGGAACTGGCACATGGCACCCAAAGTTTTCACAATAATTGTACTGGTGTCGGCCGCCACTTCCAATGATTTACTCAATCTTACATAGCAATGTACGGGATTGCGGAAATGCTTCGAATTAAGCGGGATTTCCAAATAATGAGGTTTTACTGCACTTCAGGCTTCGCACTCTTAGTGCGAAAGTGCCTTGGTTTGTTTTTGAATGGAAAGTGGTAGTTTCTTTGAGCTTAGCACTTTTTCTTTTTAAAGCATTCTGGCAGCGTAGAGGCCCATGGTGTGGTGTTCTAAAAACATGTGGCATTTACTGAGTCTACTTGTTGTTTGTGTGAGACTCACACGGAGATGCAGTTCTGTGTATTTGTTTTGAATTTAGTTGCACATTTGTTCCGTTTGTGGCAGGAGCAAAACGTATCAAGTCGACAACTCGAAGAAACTCTTTGCAGCGTAATTGAAAGTGCAGTATAATGTGACTTCTAATAGAAACGAGGTCAGGAGCAGTCGTGCAAGCATTTGAGCGAGTAAGCTTTGTGCTCACTGTGCCTCGCCACGAGGCAAGGTGTTACCCGTAGTGACAATTTCTGTGCTTTGATTCATCTGCAACTTCTACAAATCATGATTACGAATAAATGTGTGCTGTGGAATGGAAAGAAACCATGGCAATCGTAGAGAACACAATCGGTCATGATCTTTGGAATGGAAACCCTCATTAGGGCCTCCTTTGAAACGGTTCGAACTTTCAATAAAAAAGGCCTGCATGACCTGAGGAAACATTTTCAAGGTCGTTCGGCATATCGTCGAGGCGCAACACTAAGGTATGGTTTGGTGAGGTCAACCGTCATCATCAGCATTTCATCCTGAGAGTGACGAAAAATCACTCTGAGGGTGGAATCACTTTGAGGAAATCGTGGGATAGCTACTACGGCAGGTTGCTAATAATTAATCCTTTAAAGCCTGAATAATGAAACTGCCAAAAAAAATAAAAATTGTTTCTATTATCCGGCTTCAAATAGCAACCTTAAATGATTCTGCAGTAAAATTATCTGAAATGCAACATGAATGCACACTTTTATATACGTCGCTGATTCTCTATATGCCACAGTAGTGAGGACCTTGCAATAAAAAATGTACTCCAGAACTACGTAGCAAGTCGTGTGCCATCTCTTGGTTGCGTAGACATTAAGTAAAGAAATGTATTGAAGTTGGAGCTTACGTCAGCCAGGCAAGAAAGAACGAAGAAGTGAGAGCTGTGTCACACGCTTTGCGAGATCTGCCATCAGCTATAAAAACAACTGGTTCTAGCATAAAATACCTTCGACGAGTTGGCGCTAGATTTATCATGCTGAAAGCTACGTTCTCCGTGCGTACTTGACTGTCTGAGCATTATAGATGGAGCGCATTTTGTGATTTGCTTGCTCGAAGTTTTTTCGTATGTTGTGAGTTCGCGACACTCGGCAGTAAAGAGTTAAATAGTACAGTACATATTCTTTTTTGACAAAACATGAAATAAGCTTTTTTTTTCCTCCTCAACTATCAATATCCCAAAATCACCTTTTTTTTTATATATTTGCCCCTTTATCAAAACAGCTTAAAAAAAAACAAAGTTGATTTTTTATTCTAGTATTACAAACGTCATTATAAAGGTACTGCACTACAATGGTGTGTATATGCAAAGTAGTTTTTGTATTTTGGGCAGTTTCTTTTATGGAATAATGACAAAACTACTTCCTCTGCTAAAAATTTACAAAAACATTAACACCTGAAATACAGTTGTAAATATAGCTCCATTGCAAGAAGAGATGCCGATGACTGAAATGAAACAAACGCTTTATATCGTATAGCTTCAGTGAAAACGGGTTTTAAAGAAGCCTGAAAACACATAGGAGGTACAAAGTCTACCCTGTGTGCCTAAATATGCCCAAAACCTTTTGTTACTAACCAGAATTGATGGGCTCAAAAAGGATACAGAACAAAAATTGAAAAGAAATTGATGAAAACAACAAAGGATGTTGTGACTTTTCTGATAAACAGTTTTTCGTAAATTTTTGAAGGGTTTTATGCTTGATTGATTGATTGTGAGCTTGTGGCGGCTGCACGCCAATATGGGGGGCTGTGCATTGATGGTTGTAATGTCCACTGCTCGCAAGAAGATGTAGAATGCATGTTCTCCTGTCCTGTTAATTCTCTTTCTCCACCCATCTGTGACATCCCACTCTCTCCTTCCACTGAGGCCCTCAAGGGCACACCATACTTTATGGACTTCTCTACACCCGGAGCATTGTTCGCTGCCACTGCTGGTTGCAGTGGTTCTAGAAACTGTACTGGCAGTGGAAACTGTTGAGAGATGTGGGTGAAAGCTGGCATTGTGGGCATGTTTCAGGCGATATTAAACATAGCCTCCTGTGTTTCACAACAAATCAGTATGCAAAAAACGCATTAAATTATTGATTTTTCACTAGTTCCTGTCTGATGAAGGTATTATCTATCGATTTCTGTGGCCAGTCTTTTTGCTTTGTTGAAAATTTTTTTGTACTGTTCGTTCTAGTTCATTTGAAAAATATGTTATGCTGGGCACTTTAGCTTCAGTGCCAACCAGTGGGCAGATGCTGTCAACAATAGCATGTGAGTTTTCGACTGTGTGGTTTTGCTAAGGGAGCATGGTGTCCTCCCAGTATCCTGGTATATCTCATTTGGTCTTCTCGACTATGACAACGGATGACCACGGCACATGTTAAAGTGCTTGTCAAAGTAAATATCTACCCTTTCATTACCACAACTTTCATGAAGCATAAATTAGACTTTGGGCAGAAATGAATGTTTACTACACCCTTTGTGTATATAACGAGCTATGAGTCTTATTTCTAACAATTCTGTCCATTAAGCACGGCAGAAAGCATTTCTCTACACAAAGAAGGCTTAGGTTGAAATGAACAAATGATCGGGATAGTCCTTGGATTGCAGATGGAATGCACAGAAAATTGAAATGGCCTGTGTTTCCAGTACTAACATTGATTGTTGGTGTTTAACATCCCAAAACCACCATGTGAGATTATGAGAGACGCGATAGTGAAGGGCTCCGAGGATTTCGACTACCTGGGGTGCACCTAAATCTAGGCGCACAGGCCTCCAGCATTTTTGCCTCCATCGGAAATGCAGCCGCTGCGGCTGGAATTCGACCTCGCGATCTGTGGGTCAGCAGCCAAGTGCCTTAGCAGTTAGACCACCGTGACGGAGCGTTTCCAATACTGTAACCAAGGCATCAATAAAAGCCAGATTCTTTCACAAATATGTTGTGGATTCGAAGAAGTGTTAGGTGGGACAAATCATAGTATGGATGAAAGTTTCACGGATGGGCATAAATTGATTTTGTTAAGACATTTGGTAAAGCGCTTCATGATAGAGATATAAATAACTATAAATTACGGGGTTCGACGTAAGACAGGTAACTTCTGCAAATTTTTACGGTGCTGCATGGTTAGTCTTCAGCTGCTCCAGACACTGTGTGAGAATGGTTTGGGTCAGTCACATCACTACAATGTGGATTTGGTAATAGATTCTTAAGAAAAATGTGTTTTTTTTTTACACTTGTGACAATTTTTGTGACATATGAATATGAATTCTGTAGGGGGGGGGGGGGCATCTTTTTTTGTTTCAGAATACAGTAGACTCGCGATTAGTATTCACTCTCAATAATTCGTACGCGTGGTCAACTTTTAGTTGGCCTACTGTTCTTTCAGTGTATTGAAAAGTCGTTTAATTCAGTATTCCTCAATCGGCTAATTTGTACTTTTTGCGTCTCCCTACTGGAAAGTATGTACTGCTATCTCGCAACCATTTGAAAATTTGCATGTCTATTAATCATAACATTCGGAGAAGGAAGTTTTAAGCACAAACTGACGTGGTGAATATGAAAGTGACAGGTGCGGCATTCGGTCAATGCTGATTTTCCGGCGTGCCGGTTGACAGCGAAGCATGTGACCTGCGATTTGTGGGTCACTCCAGATTACCAGTAAGTTGGCCAATCCCGTGAGAAAAAGCCAAAAAACATTCCTTGTGCTTCAGAAATAAGAGTTTGAAGTGCAGCAACGGTTGGATTTTTCTATTCAAAGAACCATTCAAGATTTTCTAAAAAGATCTGGTAAATGCCACCAAACTTGTGGAACTTACGCCTCTGCTTTTTGTTTTTGTGCAGCTAAGATCTACAAATACCTGAAAATATTAAAAGTGCTTAAAATAAATGCCTGATCAGAATGTGTGGTCTCGTGTTGCCTATGTTTAAAAAGTTGTGATAACTCAAACTTCCTAAATAATTCCAACAAAGTCCAGGAGTTCCTTGAAGTTTGAATGAACGAGAGTCAACTGTAGAGTCTGTTTTATTGCTTGATTGATTTTTAGGGTTAAGAGGCGCCGTAGTGGAGGGCTCCGGCAATTTCGACCACCTGGGGTTCTTTAACGTGCACCCAAATCTGAGTACACGGGCCTACAACATCTGTTTTATTGTACTTGTCAATGTATGTGCATGCACACATATTGGCTGAGCATTCAAAAGTGTGTGTTGCAGTATTATCTGCTGATCCTTGCGCCTGAAAAGAGTTGGATGTATTAAATATTGGCTTGGTATATTGAGCACTATACTTTATGTGTACACAGGAGGCCAGTTATCACAAGCACCGACTCCTGCCGCCCTCGGAAGCATGTTCTCATGCCGGACTCACACTTGTGGCGACCTGCGACCAGAGAACGCTGGCCAGCAGGTGACGCTGTGTGGCTGGCTGGCCTTCAAGCGCATGGATCGGTTCTTGCTCCTCAGGGACGCCTATGGTATAACCCAGGTTTTGCTTCCTGATGAAGGGGTGAGTAGAAATTTCGTTCCTCATGTGGGAAACAGCCTGTCAAGATTAATCATACAAACAAGGGGGTCAAAAAAACAGCATGTAAAAAAAACTGAGCCTAATAATAATAACGAGACACAAACGTATAGACAGTTTCGGTGTCTGTAAACAAACTGGCTCGCGCCGAACGGCGTATCCCAGCAGACTTATGATGCGGCACTTTGTGTAATGCTATTTCGATGGTCCCGTCGGTGTTTTCGTGATGCGTTTGACTTAGCTACTCCATTATTTCTGGCGCATTTCTTTGAACGTGTATGGAGCAACCTATAGCCGCTACATGAAGCAGCTCGAGGTAATTCACGTCAGGTACAGCTGCGACCAGTGCTGCAGGTAACACGGCTTGCATGGCCGACAGGCGTCGTGCAAATATCTGTCGTGGTGTTCCGATGAGTGCGGCCTCCTGCTCCATGTTACTTGCCATAGTGACCATGCCTATACAAAAAGGAAATGCATAAACTGCAGGAGAAGCTTGTCAGAGAACTTCAGTGGGCTAGTTCTTTTTGCACCTAGACGATGTGGATGCATTTTGAAGACGCAGACAAGGAATGGACAGTGCACACCTGTATTTTTTCTGTCCGTGTCTTCGAAGTCCTCTCACATCCTCGACATTCTCGAGAAGAGCTGCTTGATGCATAGTGAAGCTGTTCAATTCAGCTTTTCGACCAGAACTAAAAACCTTCCTCCTTTCTAACCCCGAACATACCTTTGTTTTTGTCTAAGCACACAACCTCAGGTTAAAACGCCTATTTCTGCGCTTGTGTCACACGGGCATTGTTCATAAAAATTTACGGCGATCGGAAACGCTCGTGATTCAAAGTGTTCGTGTGAGTGAGAAGTTATAACGTCAACTGCGACTTGGTCATGCGAACTATTTTTATTTATCCACCAGTAAGCTTTTCATGAATAAAACTTTCAAGTTGAACCTCTTAAACTTACAGACCACCTTCACACCCAAAAGATAAATTAGCTAGAATTTGGCGATGTTCATTAGCGGCAGAAAGATAGGCGATGAGTCATTTGCTCGCACAGATGGGAGCGCAGTTGCCGACATCGCTTAAAAAAAAATCAAATGCAACGACAACGAAATGTGTACACCGCGACGTACATTGTGCAGCGATTCATGTTAAGCCTGGCTACATTGTGTCCCGTGTTGTTTTGAGCAGTAGACATCATTGATATCGTTCAAACTATAAAATAAACACCTTTACGGTGGATTTTCAGTGTTAGTTTTCACGCTTTGCTATCTATTTCAGGCATCAGTACACTTATCTGCCACGGGTGGAAAATGACAGCAACCAATGTGTTCCCGGTAACTGGGGGCCTTCGACTAGTGTAATGTCTGAGTATCGCCTCCGTGCCATTAGTCTGGGCTGAGCTTTAGATTGCCTTTGATAAATTGATGAAGTGGCCAGAACAAACCTGTGCGGTCTTAGTGAGAATCCAGTTTTCTCGCTTGATTGTGCAATGCAGGCGCTCTTTCTATCGTCATCGATACGAAAACAGAATGTTTCGACTAGCATGTATAATTAATGAACAGTTTGCAATAATCTGCAAGGCGGTTGTCCTGTAAGTAACCAATAACTCTCGTTCACAGACTGCTTTTCTTGCTCATTTTGTTGTACTCGTGTGCTTGCGTGCCATCGCTGGAATTCGGAGGTGACATTTTTTTGTACTCGCGTGCTCGTTTGCCTTCGCTCCACAATTAGTGAAAAAAGCAGTCTGTGAACGAGAGTTTTTGGTTTGAAAACCAGCCTTACAGAAAAGCGGACTTGGAGGTTATTGTAAACTGTCCATTCAGACATGTAGACTGCATGCTGGCTTGACTCAGCAGTGCTTGAGTCACGAGCACTTCGCCGGAATAATTTTATCCGCATAAAACATTGAAACATAAGGAGCCACAGCCAGCAACAATAGCTAAAATTACGAAAAAACTAGCTAAACCGGAAGTTTCCAGGGGTGGTTTTCTGGTGAATGCACAATGTTGCCAGATACCAGCAGGCTCTGGCCAAACAGTCTATAGTCTAGCTGCACACTGCTACGTACGACAAGCATGGCAGTGTACATTTGTGTTGTGCAGCAAGTGAAAAAAAAAAAAAAAAGGTTGGCAGCTGCCGCTGGAGGTCCTTGAAAGCTATAGGAGTTGTGCGATCGCCTGGCCTTTTCTTCTTCTTGCGTGCCACTTGTGGATGGAATCATAAGCATGATTAGCTGCAACAGTGATAGTATTGGAGGCAATGAGCTCTGGCTTATCTTGCAAGAGATCATTATCGTTCACAAAATGGATGCTGCTGACAAAGCTAGTACATTGCAAGCGATCTGAATTGGCAAGAAGGGGGAAGTCCCTGCTTCTTTGGCAATGTCACAGCGTTCACTGTTCACGACCCCATGCTTAAGCTTTCAAAAAATGATCTGTTACTAAGAATCATGCGGAGGAAACGCTGGAACACCTTTCTGGTGAGATTTCAGTGCACATGAATAATCTCGCGTGGTCAAAATAAACATAGTCTTCTATTATGGCGTGCCTCGGAATTTTACTCTGGTTTCATAATGTAAAACCTTACAATTTAAGCTTTCTTAACAAGCTGTCATGAAGTACACATTCTACACACTGCCTTGTTTACAAATGACTGTACTCATTGGTCATTTGGAAAGAATTCCTTGGGAATTGATCGAAAGCTGGTTTTGAGTGGAAACGTTTATTTTGTAGGAGTGCAACCTAGAAAGCTTAAGTAGATTTCATCTTTTTTGTGTTCCGTTATTCCAGAAGACAGACTCTGCCTGCATTTTGCACATCTCAGTGCTGTGCTGCTATTTCAAGGCCCAGCACGGAAAGAGAGGTGCTATGAGTTGCTCATGTTAGACCAGTGTTAGGGTCCTTAACGGCTCTTTTTTTTTATTTTCAGTCTAAAAGTGCCTGTTTTTTATTATCACTAATTTTGATTCTAAATTTACTAAATAGAGGCTAGTCGATGTTGAGAAATGTTTTCATTACATACTTAGGCAAATCAATGAAACAAAGTTTCTTTCTGAACAATTTATAGGAAACCAGCTACCTACTGTTAATAAAATTAGAAACCTTATAAACAAAAGAGTTACAGACGCACACATCTTTCTTCACTTGTGTAGGCTGAGCACCCTTGGAAATCTCACTTGTGAAGCTTCGGGGCTGTGTGAAAAATTTCAAAGTGCGGAATAATTCAAAGAAGCTTCACCGTCGGGCACCTGCAATGTTCGCGTCCGAGCAGTCTTCATCACCGAGGAGCTGCTCATTTACCGTCATTGCTTTCTTCATTTTTGGACACAAGATAAATATTTATGCTCTAATCATCATCACTCGTAGATGATGACGAAACTACACTTGAACCCTTTTATAAGAGGCATGCTCTGGGCAACAATTCTTCTCTGTCTTTTACTTTAGGCACACTGGTGTCTCTTATAACCATTTGTCTTTTATATCAGTGTCTCTTACAAAGGGGTTCAACTGTATTTCGTGTTCACGGGCCAACTATGCATGAGTTGCTGCCACTACACACCATCTTTTCATGCAATATCTGTGCTCCTGCCGCAGGAAAAAACTAAATTCTTGAGCAAATGTTGCCATCAAGTGGACGGCACCCCATGTAACCCGTGAATGCGCGCTTCTCTGCATGAGGGATAGAGCAAAGTACCTATTCCGATGGGACTCGTCCAAAGACGTTTGATGACAAGCTTGGGAGAGACGAGCTGTGCTTGTCCAAAGCAGTTCAGAGGTTAATGCACTCAAAAGCACGCAGCAGCGTCGTTCCATGCATTACATAGGCTTTACTTGTCACCAGAAGGGTTGTTAGAACAGGTGGAATTTCCTGACTAGCTTCTACACCAGCTAAGGAGGGAAGATGTTTGAGGTTGGAAATGGGTCCCCCCGATGACTTGAGTTCTCGGTGGCAGCGCGAAGGAAGAGCCGTAGTCTGGTGAAAAAACGCTTTATTGCAACCTCAGGCGTCTGCCCGGGTGCAAGCTCAAACCTCTGCTCCTATTTCACATTCAAGCACCCTGTTTTCAACCTTAGGTTGAACAAAGGGTCTCTACACAAGCCAATCACACGTGTGGGCTTGCATCACCACAACTAATCGCAAAAACACTTTCAAAACAAGCACTGCATTGGTAAAAATTACGATACGAAATACAATTCGAGAGGGGATAGGTTCTCCGCGTGTCACACTCTCTTTCATGCCAGGCCATGTATCGGCCGACCTCCATCGGTAGCCGTTCTCACGCTCGTGCTCCATCAGCTTTCTCATGAACGTCGCTTCATAGAAGCCTCCGTAAGCGCGGATATTACGCCATCTGGCCCAGTGCGCTGACCAGGTGTGCATGCGACAGCGAGGCACCCCGCCATCCTCGCAACACTCGGTAATGACATATAGCAAGGGAGGATAAGCTCCTCTCCGTGCTGCCACCATGTCTCGGTCAGCCCAGTCGTCGCGTCCCTGCAGAATTCTCAATGGCACACGTGCATGCTAACAGTGACTTAGACGACAGCACTTGACGTGATTCTTGCTAGACGCGCGTCCGAGTAAGCTTTCTTCTTCTAGTCCCAAACGGGGGCGACCTTTAAGGCTCCGCTCGGGAACCGTGCGAATGAAGGAGTCTCCTTTCTTTCCCGTGCACGGGTCTTCCGCGTCTGCTTTCCCGAAACTGATCAGCTTCGTTAGTTGGCAGTCAGGAACTGGCTCCACTCTCTGTATCAGCCGCATTAATTGCGCTACACACAGCACACTGCTAATGGTTGCGTCATACTAGCTGAAGCTGTTCAAATAAAATGGTGCAAAGTGTTGTAACAACACTAACATCATACCTATGCCATGTAGGGAGAACGTACTCAGACAACTAAGGATGGGATTTGATACCCATCGCCCTCCATGCACAGGCATGAGCAGTGACTCTTATAAAGAGCACTGTCCAATTGATGAGGCAGTGCA